AATGTGCGCGTCTGCAGTCATTTGGCGAACGTGTTCTTTTCCATTCCAATTAGCAAAGAAGGTCAGGAACAGCTCACACCCACGTGGGAGAGACAACAGTATTCACTTACAGTTTTGCATAACAGGGCTATGGCAACTGTCTCGCTGTCTGCCATAACATAATCCCTAGAGACCGGGCTGTTTGGATTCCACAGAACACCACCTGGGCCCGTGACGTCGGTGGCGATGCTGATTGCACAGGAGGAACAGAGGAGGAGGGGGCGGGAGGGAGGGGGGCGCTCTGCCCTGGAGGCCACTGCAAAGGCACCTGCAGTCGAGGACCTGCCACTTCAGTGCAGGTTTTAGGGTTCTGTGGTGGGTGTGCCTGCCTGGATCCCTTTCCAGGTGAAGGAAATTGCTGCATCTTCTATCTCAGTACAGCGAGGCAAACAGTGTCTGGGCCCCCTCTTTGGGCTTAGAAACGACACGTTTTTCTGGGTGACCTGGGAGGCTGCTGGCCACAGGTGGGTCCCCCGACAGAAAGAGGCTCTGTGGGCGGTCTGGGCGGCGGGGCAGGCAGTCCTGCCACTGGTCACATGCTGGCGGACTCTTGGGTGGGAAGTGACAGTCTCGGAACCAGGAAAGGGTGAGGTATGGGTCTTGTGGCAAGTCCCCCTGGGAGAATCACAAGGCAAGCCCGGTCCTGGGCAGCGGAGGCTTGCACCTTCTGATACACGGTTCTAGGGGGGCAGGGACCCTGGCACAGCAGGCGCGGCACCTGGAAGGGCGTGTGAGCTGGGTCTGGTGGGTACATCAGCTTACGAGGTTGATGGCCCAGGCTGCAGCCCATCATCCAGCAAAAAGGCTGCCTCCAAGCCCGAGCCTGGCTGGCTGGGGCACAGGAAGAGGCTGCTGCGTGAGGCCGTCGCAGGCAGAGCCTGTGCCCTGCTTGTCCCTTTGGCCACATAGAGGGTCCTGCACAACCAGCAAGGAGTGGGAAGGGTCTTGCCTGGTAGAGGGGCCGAGATGGCACAGAGGCTGCAGGACGGTGGCAGGAGGGAAGGAGAAAGTGCTCCCATCAATGCAGCTGTGGGCACAGTTCTTCAGGGGCCAATGGCCTGGCCGTTTGGTCGGGGCCTGGCCGGAAAGGACTGGAGACGGGGCTGAGGAGGTGTGGGGAGGGGTGTGCAGATGGATACACAGAGAAAGCGCGAGCGTGAAGGTCTAGCACCACGTGCTCATGCATGTTAGAAAGCACCAACACAGAAGAGGCGGGGAAACAAGCAAATGAACATATGATGTGGACGGTTACACTGGGCCGTCCCTGTCATTGCTACGGTGGAACCAGCACACGGGGCGTACTAGTGGAGCAGCCACTGTGACGGAGGCAGAAGCCATGAAAGGGGTAACATGGATCCAATGGCTCAGATTCCCACACACCAAGGCCTTGTTAGGCCCTGCTGACTCAGTGTCAACCAGCCCATCAGCCACAGAGGCCAGTGCTGAGTCCCGGACAGACCGACTTCTCTCGGGGGCCAGTCAGCCACAGCGACCAGCCCACCCAGGAAGGGCCAGCGTTCACCTTCACTGGGATGAGACCTGCTCTGGGTATGGGTTTGCCTGTCCTGGCCACAGAGCCTCAGTCAGCACATCCCAGGGGTTACCTGGTGTGAAGGCAAGGAATTCCACCGGCACAGCATCGGGACACAGCGAGGGCCTGTTGAACTCCTTTGAGTTCCTGGGACCAGGAGGGTTATCTTCCCGTGATCAGCAGGAAGCAGGGCTGGTTTACACCATGGGGGCTGGAAGGACAACCCAGGTCACCCCCAGCGTAATTATGCAAGGACACAGGCAGCGGCCCCACCGAAGAAGGGCTTGATTACCAAGCATTTAGGCCCTTCCCTCCCTGCTGCATGAAGGCGGACACACAACCCTCAGCATCTGCCAGGTTGTTGAGGGTGAGGATTCAGAATGGAGCGGGGAGGGAGTGGTGAGATTACCTGCATTGACAGGGGGTAGTTAGGCCTATGACCATCCTCTTCCTCCATTTCCCTTAGGAACAGAGGCCCAAGGGGACTGGGTGAACTAGCCTGAACCTGGTGGAAAACCAGATCTGCGTGGCACAAGGATGGGTGATGACAGCCGCTCAGAACGCCGTCCGGCCTCTGCAGCAGGGGTTGTGATGTTGGCCCAGCGGCCGGGTCTGAAACCTGTCACTTAGCTTGCACTGAGACCATGCCTCCCACGGGCCTGCCGAGGACTGAGTGGCCAGGATCCTAGGCCCGTGCTGGGGTGTGGGGTCCTCTGACCGGGCCTCGAGGACTTCTCACCAGCCTCGCTGAACTTCCTTAGAACCGCACGGCAGCCTCGGCCTCCTCTGCCCAACTTCCCTCCCTCCCTTCCTCTTTCCCAAGGATCGTACGTGCATCATGGTCTCCGGCTAGCCTCCCTGCTTTCCTTCCCGTTCGCTGTCTGCTTCTCAGACTGAGACTAACAGGGCTACTTCGTGTGGACCTTGGAGCAGGAGCTGCCATCACCTGGGAGCTGGTCAGAATGTCTCGCCCTACCCCAGACCTACCAAACCGGAGTCTTCATTTCAGCAGATGACTCACCCACGCATTGTCATTTGAGAAAACACTGTTTAGATGAGTTGGTCTTTTCCAGCAAATCCTTTAAATCTCAGTTTAGAACCCGAGTTTTTGCAAAGTTGGAATCACAAAATTACAGATTACTCGGATCCTTCATTTTGCAGGCCAAAGCCCAAAGGGACTGGGTGAGGGTCATACAGTGAATTAGAATAGAGCCGGCACCGTCTTTTCCTCCCACTGCAGGCTGCCCTAAGCAGCCAAGTCTTCTGTCTGCATTGTTCAGCCTGGTAGCACTTAGAAGAAGGCTGTAATAATTTTAAAAATTTTATCTTTGTCCTGGGTTCCTGGCATAGAGTCCCTAAGATCCCTAGAATTCCCTGATGGGAACATCTTTTGTTATTCCCCTGTGTTTATGTGATTGACTGGGATGGGGCCGGAGAGAGCACCTCAGAAAGACCAAGCTTGTGAACAGAGCCTGAACTCAGCTTCTGGGGAGAGGAGGGAGGCGGTGGACATACTGAGGTCCTGGGAGGGGGGCACGCCCTGAAGCAGGCAAGTCTGCTCTGGAATGAGAATTCAACTTCTTCTGTCTGAAATCCTCACAAATTGCCACTGTGAGGATGGAACTGTGACCCCAAAGCAGTGATGTACTTACCAATCCCTCCCAGCTCATCACAGCCAGGCCTCTCACCTGGACTCTGCAGCCCTGGGTTAGAACCTGAGGCTCCGTGCCCAAGGCCCCATGCCCGAGGCTCCGAGCCGAGCAGAGGACAGTGATGATGTAGCAGCCCAGGGTCGGAAATGGTCCTGTGTTTCCCTGTGAACCTCTAGTCCCACGTGGGTCCTGAGCGCTGTCCCGAGGGCGCCATGTCATCTCACAGAAAACAAGGGATGCTCTTTCTTAAGAAATAACTTTAATTCCAGGTGGTTAGTGAGTGTAAGGCAGGGAGTGCCGTTATGAAAGTTAAAAGAATCCAGTTACAAAAGAAGCACTGGGTGTAGTCTCAAACAGCCGAGGGTACAATGGGCTCCGTATTTTACATAGTACAAAAATTTATTTCATATACAAAGAAAAATACAAAGAATGTGCAAAAACCATTTTCACAGGTGGCAATTTATAAAATGAAAATGATAGAAAAATCCTTCATTCTTATTATTCCCTCAATTTCTTATGTCACAGTTCTGTTTCCTCGTGTGTAGATCATTTTAACTTTGAAAATCTGATTTATTTTTAACCTATAAAGACAAAAAGGTTTTTAAGTTTGTAAAAAGGGAACCATTTCAAGGAAATCTTATTTAATTTTATATTAAATTATAAGTAGACTAACTGAAGAACAAGGATATAGCAATCATATATACATATTTTTGAAATATTAGTTTGGTATTTAACATATTAACAGTTCATAACAATGTCCTGCTCTAGCTCCCTGTCTCCCTGGCCACAGGGGCCTCGGAGGAGCTGCTCTGTCCCGGGAACAGCCTCCTCAGATCCTGAGCTGGACAAACACAAGGTTACCAAAAGGAAGGGCGATCTGAAAGCGGTGCCTACGGCCCACGTGCTGAAGCGCCGTATGGTTTCCATCGTGCCTGTGGGCTGTGGATAAGCCGCGGCACAGGTGTTGTGAGGTCATGAACAGCTGGCTCTCTTCCACCGTCTCCGCTTCGTCGGGAGGTCAGTGCAAGTGCTTGTTTTGCAGTGAGTGCGTTCAGCTTCCTGCAGGCTGTGTCGTGAAGGAAGCTGTCAGGGAGCAGACATGCAGGAACACAGGGTCCTCGGAGTGTCTGTGGCCCGGCGAACCCAGTGTTTGGAAGCAGTACTTTCCTGTGTTGGCATGGTCATTGCTGCATCATCCCTGACCATCTGTCCATCAGGACACCCCGTGTGCCCTCACTCTGCCCCCACTGAGCACCGATGTTCTTGCCGCGAAGCCCGGCGGCAGGGCAGAGGCCGGGGAAGGACCTTCTGCAGCACCAGATGGCTGAGCATCTCTAAGGTCAGGTGCTAAGGGTAGGAGCTGCTGATGGGAAACCTATTCTGTGCAGAATGTAACACTCTTGGAGGATTCTGATGTTTGCTTGCAGAAAGCTCTCTAAGGAAGTGATGACCTTGGAGAACAAAAGGACCCAGGTAGGTGCACCACCGGCCTAGGGGATGGGTACCAGTTGGCTCAGGAAGCATCTTCTGACCCTGACCACTCAGACTCTGTTAGAACAACCTAGTGCAAGGCACGGAGGCCTGGGGCTCTTGACTCATCCACTCAGGCCAAGTAGACCGAGCAATGCTGAAGGAGGGGCTGGGCGAGACTGGCCAGGAGAGCCTCAGGCCCGGGCTGACTCACAGAGCCGGACAGGCAGCTGTCAGCTCCCCGAGGACTCGTGCACTTTCCCGATTCGGAGCAGGAGCCTCTCCTCTCTCTCCCACTTGGGTGGGCATCAGGCGTCAGAGATGCAGTTCTGGATCCGGTCCATCCACTGTTGGGCACTCTGTCCATCCTGGGCACAGAAGTTGTACACACGTTTGCTGGTCTTGAGCTGCAAAACCAAATGAAGAGAATGAGATGGAGGGCAGGTTGTTCTAAGGCTTCGGGCAAGCACGCAAGGCCATCCCTGTGACCGCACGTCCCCGTACTGCCCAGAACTGCTGAATCTCTCTCCCTTCACTGCATACTGTCAGCGCCTCTATGTTCACTTCACCTTTTTATCCCCAGAATCACGATGAACATCCCCTGGCAGATTAACATCTGCCAGAAGGTGCAGGCAGAAAAAGGAGAAGCATGAGGACCACCTCACTTGGCATCCTTCCTGAATGAGGAAAGGGCTGGACGGCGGATCTCTGGCAGGTCCCAGGCCCTGCAGCAGTGCAGTGAGGTACCGAGTAGCGCCCTGTGCTCCCCGGGGAAGCCGAGACCCACCCACACGGAGATCAAGGTGGCTTTTGTGTCCACTGCCACTCCATTCTCCAACTGGGGCCACATTGGAAACTCAGAGTTAGGGTTGCAGCCTCACAGCTTGAGCCAGGCCCCGGAGTGTGACCTCTGCCCTTTATGAATCCCTGCTTGACTCTGGGGACTAGATAAGTCCCGGATCATGTGGCCCATAAAATGCCCAACGCCCTCCTAATAGCTGCTGAAGATGTCCGGGTAGACAGTCACCATGTGACTAGGACAGTTTTTGTGGACGGTCAAGCATGAAGATACTGGGAATGAATGAGGTAGCGCCTGCACCTGACAGGAGGTGGTGAGCAAAACAACATTTAACAGAAGTTCATTTGCTTTCAGGGGTGACTGGACATCTTTTGAAGGAGCCCTTTGTTAAAGGAGCGTGCAGCATCTGAGACATACGGATAGCCGGGGGAGGTCAGGGTGGGGACAGAGTGCTGAGCTCCAGTTCCTAGCGATTCCCATGGCCAGGGGGTCTATGACCCATGCACCGTCACCACCCATTGCTCTGAGGCGCCACAGTTCTCGGAGGAGATGGAGATGAGGACCTTGTGTGGAGCCCGAAAAAGACAAGATCAACTTACATCAAAGAAAGCCTTGTCACTCGTGTGCTTCGGGGCCCCCATGCTGGGGCCCGCAGGGACGACCATTTCCACTTCAGCCAGATCGATGTGGCCCTTACAGCTGGTGTCCTCACCCGAGTCATAGTACCGCAGCTGGAACCAAAGATGCAGACTGATGTGAGGGACACACAGAGGGAAAACGGCCTGGCTCTTCACACTGAACACTTCCCTCTGTAACTGTCTGCACTATGCTGAGAAGAATAGACAAAGAAAGAGTAGAGGGAAGGCAGGAGTGAGGGTGGGAAGAGATCAACCAAAGAACGTGTGTGCATATATGCATAACCCATGGAATCAGACAATAGGGAGGCGGGAGCACGCTAGAAGGGGGAAAAAAGAGGACATAGGAAATGCTTTCAACATAAAGTATATAAATAAAAAAGAATAGACAAGAAATGAAAAACACTGTTTGCCTTTAGGAAATAATACCAGGTGGACAGGAAAGAGAAATTTTTTTTTTTTAAATTTAAACAACTAAGTGAATTACATTATTAAAAAATAGGATTAAATGTCAACTAACAACTATAAAAACTATACATTATATAACATATAAAAAGGTATTAAAGTTTAGAATCAATACAACATTTCTAGAAATTGATAAGAAAAAGATAACCTAGTAGAGAAATGGTCAAAGGAGCTCAACAAGCAAGTCACAGAAGGAACACAAATGTCCTACAAACTCCTGCAAAGATGAGCAACTTCACTGGCCAAAGAACAGAAAGTGAATCAATGAGATTTCACTTGCACCTACATTAAGAAATGTTAAACATGGCTGATAATATCCAGTTGAATGTAAAGCACTACATACTCTTAGAGGGAAAATTAACTTGATAGAGATTTTTGGAGAACAATTTGGCATATCAACTAAAATGTAAAGTGTCTGTGCTTACTGATACACCCTTCCCACCATTACGACTTATCCTATAGAAACTCTCTTGCAACTGTGCCAAGACACAGGTATAGAGGTGTGTTTTTATCAGCTAAAACGGAAAAGATGCATCTGTCTTTCAACGGGGTGTTGGTTAATTATAGGGCAGGACAGCAATATATGAAGAGCATACAGTTTTTAAAAAATGATAAAGATCTGTATGAACTGGCCAGAAAATATATTCAAATATCCTATATAATAAAAGACTAATATGCAAATTATCCCCTTGAGAGTTTGACAGACTTGGGAGTTTGACCGCCTGCTATGATTGCACTGACCACCAGGGGGTGGTGTGGAATGAAGGAAGGCCCTTTCCAGCAGCCAGCAGGAAGGAAGGCCCCAACTGGCAGCTGGAAGGCTCTGATCAGTCCTGATTGTAGGCCAGACCTGGAAACTCTACCTGTGCACAAATTTTGTGTACCAGACCTCTAGTATTATATAAAAAAATGAGTTTCCAATTAGCATGTAGCTATAAAATAAGTTTGAAAAACAGAATAAGTAGCGTAACATTTGATTGAGTAGTAATTTGTACCAGGACTGTCCTGCATACACTCATTTAACCTTCCTAACAATTCAAACTACATATAATACATCTACATTGACACACAGATGTATAAAATTATTTAGAGAAATAGGTACCAAATTGTTAATAGTTACCTCTGGGAGTTGGGGGTTAGGGGGTTCTCCCATCTTTATGAGGTATTTGGGTTCAATACAACATGTATTACTTTTGGAATATGAAAAAAACGAGTAAAACTTTTTAAAATGAAAGATGGCTGTGAAAAGCCTTCCTGGCCCACAGTCAGATTCCCGCTCTCGCTTCCCAGAAGGAGTGCCCGGAGCCTCAGGCACTGAGGCCTGGCCTGGACTTTCCTGTCTCTCCCTCAGGCCTGGTGAAAGCAGGGAAATGGGAAACCTGTACACCTTTCATACTGAAGCAATCCCAAAGATTGGTAGGAGTTACATTATTATATAATTTGACATAATTGTAAATTACAGAAAGACTATGACATTCTGTGTTATATTTCGTGATTTAATGGAACTTTTATACATAATGTAGACTTGATTTCAGAGCCCGTTAAGTGTAAAAAAGGATTGATTGCTTAATTGAAAAGAAATACTCTACATTCTTTCCCCAAACTGCACAGCCTATGGGATCCTTTGAACGGAGGGAAAGGTGTTCTCTGCATAACATCTTCACCTGGAGGGAGTTTCCAGATGCCGGCCCAACCAGAGCACAGGGCTGAGGGTCACAGTTCTTATCGCTCTCCACAGGCTCCATTTAGAGACATGCACTGAGAATCAAATGTGCCCCAGGCCTTCAGGCAGCCCAGTCAGCTCCAGCGACACTAGTGAGGGTGCAGAGGGGCTGGGGGTTTGGCTAGGGGTCCCTCTCCCCTGGCATCGCTGAAGCCAAGCTTATGACACTAAGGATGTGTGGGCTTCAATGGCAGTAGCTACGAACTTAACAACAGGCAAGACTTCCCGACATGTCAGTGAGGTTGGTCTCGCGCTTGCCGCTCTGGGTTCCAGTGTGGGCGGCCCGTCCACTTGCCTGTTCCGGGGCCTCCCCTGTTGCTGCCGTCTGAGGAAGAAGCATGCCTTCTTTAGGACCCTGTGCATGGCGGGCACAGGGAGGTGTGCAATCCCATTTGTCGAATCAGTGAGTGCCCTCAGTTGTACATGGATGCTTTAAGCTGCCGGCGAAGGTAATGTGTATTCTGGAGTGTTCACAGGCTCCATATGTGCACACAACGTGTAACACGCTAAAAACCTGAGGGCTTCCCGGTGTGGGTTTATGAGCAGAAGATATTGAGCATTAAAAAGCAGAATTTGCCCGGCTGGTGTTGCTCAGTGGTTGAGAATTGATCTATGGACCAGATCACAGGTTCAATTCCTAGTCAGGGCGCATATCCGGGCCTCAGGCTGGATCCCCAGTGTGGGGTGTGGGGGGCAGCCAATCAATGATTCTCATCATTGATGTTTCTATCTCCCCCTCCCTTTCTGTTTCTTTTTGAAATTAATTAATTTTTTTTTTTTTTTTTTTTTTTTTTTTTTTTTTTTTAAAGCAGTCTATTGCTCTTAATGCTCTGGCCCAGCTGTCACTGTCTCCGCCAGCATACCCCAGGCAGAGCCCCTCGGGAGCTTGCCTCAGAAGGCCCTGCCCTCGTGCAGGGACATGCTGATGGCAGGGGAGCATCTGTAGGAGGGACGCTCCATCCGCACACAGGCGCACGCAGCTGGGCCCGAGCGCAGCCGAGAGGGGTTCTGTAGGTTGTGAGCATTACCTGGTGTTTTGTTACATCCAGAACGAACCAGCGGGGCTTCCACCCCTTCAGCAAGGCCCCTCTTTTGTAAAGTGTTCCTTCAAAGGACCTAGAAAAAATGACAACAGGGCAGTTCATTTTGATTTTTCATTAAAAAATTGTGTAAAGGGGTGTCGGCAAATTTTGTTTGTTAAATCTCTATTTCCCTCAAATGAGCCCAAAAAGAAAAAAATAACCCAGAGTTCTCCCTAGAATGTTTCTACCGGACCTTTGGGGAAAGACTGCCGCTTTCTGCTGGAATTACCAAACTGGTGGGGCTTGGCGCTCGTGGTGGCCACCTTGGTGCCACGCTGGGACTGACGCCTCCCCGGAGCCGGCAGAGCTGGCCAGGGGGCAGAAGCCTCCCAGTTTCCGCGAGTCAATTCCTGTGCGAGCTGGAGGAACTGGGTTTCTGTTTGCTCCCCGAAGAAGTGCTGACTACCACAGAATCCCCTAGGAGAGCTGGCAGACAGGAGGTAACAAGAATCTGGACTCAACCAGATAACTACAACCTCTTGGCATATTCTAGTTGTAATTTTAATCTTTCCTCTTCAAAGAACCATCTAACACATTGAAAACAGAAACAAAGAAAGACTCAAAGCACATCTGTTTTCAGACTACAGAGGGCCGTGCTGACTGGCCCAGCCGTTAAAAGGCTGGGGTGCGGCCGAGGCAGCGGGGAGAGCCCCGCAGCCTGCCCTGCCGGGCTGGCACGTCACCTGTTCTCGTCGTTCTTGGGCGTGTACTGGCTGTACAGCGTGGCGGCCCTGCGGTCCACGCCGTTGGACGGGGAGACGCTGGTGCTCTGCTCCTCGGCCACGCTGTCTGGGAGGTGCAGCAGGGACCTCTTCTGATAGGAAGGGAGGTTGGTGGACACAATCCCTGGGGAGCTGGGAGGGTGTCTCTGAGGCTGAAACAGAAAGAACAGGAGCGAGGAAAGCTTTAATAGACTGAAAGCTGCTCATCTAATAGTAATTTCCTTCCTAAAAATGTATCTCAAGGGAAAAAATGGAACCAAGAAGCAAAATGTGCATAAAAAGATGTTTTTCCTGGAGTTGTTTATAATAGTAAAAGACTGGAAATAAGCTAAATGTCTATCATTGGGGGACTGATTAAAAAACATTTCCGTACGGTGGGATTCTAGACAGCCGTTAAAATCGATGCCTCTGGTTTATTATATAGTGACAAATGGGAGGCCATGTGTGCCACATGTTACGTAAAAAAAAAAAAAAGAGCAGGCTTTAAAATAGTATGTGTAATAAATTCCTTCTGCACGTGTACTTAGAACAAGTTTGACAGCACTGTTATTTCTATGTTATAAATTATGGATGATTTTTATCTTCTATTTATAACTTTCTGCATATTCTTATTTAAAAGAATAAATATATCACACTTCCATAGTCAGGAAAAAAAAGGCCAAAAAACCCTATATTTTTCCTGAGAAAAGAAGAAGTTAGGTGGCCTGAGAACAGCTCCTGACTTGCCATTTGAGGCAACAGATATTCCCCTTCCATGTCACTCAGGCTTCCTGCTCCCCTCCTCCCTCAACCCACTGACTCTGACCTGCTGACCTCCCTGCTCCCCGAAGTGCTCTGCAGAACCCTGTCCCAGCTCCCGGGGTTGCCCTGCAGCCAATCTGACGTGGGCTTGCCTGGTGGTCGCACCGAGTAGCAGCTGTGTGACCCTGTGCCTGTCCTCACTTCTGAGCTGGACCCACGCCCGCACTGTGTGCATGGGTCCCAGCACAGGCCCTTGCCCATATTATGTGCCTGATAAAAGTTTCTTACGTCAGAAACAGGAAATGGGGCATGAGAGACAGAAAACGGAGTATTTGGTTTTAAAGTATTTTGATAAATGTTTCTTAACTCAGAAACAGAAAGTGTGTGTGTGTGTGTGTGTGTGTACCACAGAAAACAGCATCTTTTTTTCTTTTTAAAATGCTTTATTTTCCCTATTATTCCTCTGGGGCAAACCTGGTCTTGGCACTCTCCTCCTCCCTCATGTGGTAGAAGATCAGCTGAAACCACAGAGGCTCTGAGATAATTTCCCGCGGACTGGGCCCTGAAACACGAGTGTTATGTCACTGTGGTGAGGTGAGGCACTCGGGAAGTATTCGGTTCAGTGATTTGGAACCTTCTGCCCTGGAACTCCAGGGCACGTGTCTTCCCCCACCCCCCCTTCCCCGCTTACCCATATCCTTTGGCCATGAGCCCCCAGGGTTACCTGGCAGCGGCCCCCCTGACCTAGCGCCTTCGCAAAGCTCAGCAGTAGCTCCTCAGGGGACTGTGCCAACTCACGTGGTCTGCTCTGGGCTCTTCTTTTAGGTCCACGGCTACCCTTTCCCACAACTGCTGCCACTTCTCGGGGGTTTGGTTCAATTTATGCTCCAATCTTTCAATTTCCTGTAAAGTAATTAAAGGGGTTTTTGGACAGATCAGTATTTCAAAGAAGCCACGTCTCTGCACTGGCACAGGCGAGTGGTGGGGCCCCGGGCAGCTAACGGCAGCGGTAAACACGGCCTCGGCCTCCAGAGCCAGGGACGGCGCGGAGCTGCAGCTGATGGGAGGCACGAGGCAAAGGTGATTTATGAGGATCTGTAATCAGGACGGTTTATACAGAACTGCTTCAATACGGAGAAGAAATATGCATCCCAGACACCCTGGCCAGCACACTGGAAATCTGATGGCCACAGCAAAAGGTCAAGCACTGGGCCAGTGTCCAAACCCTAATAGCTGAGGTGGATGGGAAGTCTGTCCTTGACAGAGGACCCTCAGCTCTGATGACTGAAACCAGATGTGGAAAGAACAAGTAAAGAAATTCCTCAGGAGCAGTTTCCTGCGGCAGGAGGGCTGCGGTCAGCACAGCACCTTGCCAGCTCTCCCCGGCACGCTCCTGGTCGGGACTCCGACTGAGACTCTTCAGCAGCTGCCTGGCCCCCTCTCCTCGGGGCTACTGCCAGGACAGTTTCTCTCTAGAACATTCCTTGTGGAAGACACGGGCAGTACTCCCACCGGGCCATCAGCTGCCCACACTTGTGACCAGAGGAAGCGGAGCACCCACAGAAGCCATAACCCAGGCCTGACTCAGGCTGCCCGGGCAGCTAACACAGCTGGGAAGCTGAAAATTGCTGCATTTGCTTGATTGCTTCCTCGAAATACTAGATAACTCATTTTTGTTTATGGTTTAAATTTTTTTAAAAAAACAAACTGATTTCAGAGAAAGAAAAAGAGAAGGACAGGGAGAGGGAGAGGGAAAGAGAGAGAAACATCAATGATTAGAGAGAATCATGATGGGCTGCCTCCTGCACACCCCCTACTGGGGTGTGCCCTTGACCAGAATTGAACCCAGAACCCTTCAGTTCACAGTCTGATGCTTTATCCACTGAGCCAACCCAACCAGGGCTGGAAAGCTCATTTTTATTGAAACTCTTTTCCCCAGTTGATCCTGGTCCCCCACTGCTGCTGGGGAGCAAGTTTGGTTTCCTCCTCCCCTTGGAGCTATCTCGACCAGAAGTCTATGAGCCAGTCTGTCCTAACCAGTCGGGTTCCCAGGCCTCCTTGCCTCCGAGGAGCCCCCGGTGCGTCTGCACTCTGCTCACACTGAGGCTGGTCAGAGCCCCCATGGAGCCCCCGGTGTGTGTGCACACTGCTCGCTTAAACTGAGGGGCTGGTCGAGCCCCCATGGAGCCACCAGTGTGTGTGCACACTGCTAGCTCACACTGAGGAGGCTGGTCAGAGCCCCCATGGAGCCCCCGGTGCCAGCACACTGCTCACTTACACTGAGGGGCTGGTCAGAGCCCCCATGGAGCCCCCGGTGCCTGCACACTGCTCACACTGAGGAGGCTGGTCAGAGCCCCCATGGAGCCCCCGGTGCCTGCACACTGCTCACTTACACTGAGGGGCTGGTCAGAGCCCCCATGGAGCCCCCGATGCCTGCACACTGCTCACTTACACTGAGGAGGCTGGTCAGAGCCCCCATGGAGCCCCGGTGCCTGCACACTGCTCACTTACACTGAGGAGGCTGGTCAGAGCGTCGGGCTGTGTGCAGCCGACGTCGTCATAGCACGGCCACACTGTCCTCCTCCGGCTCTGTGGCCCCGCACTCCCAGCCAGTTCACCGTCCTCCGTGGGGAACTGCTTGGGGGTCAGCATCATCCAGTCGTATGACGGCCCCGTGGAGAGGGTCTCCTCGATGTAGTAATCCCACTTCTTGAGGCTGGAGACATTTACGTTGGGCTTTAGGGCCTGTTTAGAGAAATTTGTAAAATATAGTTTCATCTTACTCCAAGGCTTACTTGTAGGCCAGCCCCTAGAGTTTGCAGGGTCTGAGGCAAGAGTATGAATAGAGGTTATACTTAGATAAAAAAGTACATCACATGTCTAAGTGTTTAAATGTACACATCAAAATAAATGATTAAATAAAATATATTCTATCCTCCTACTTTGACAAATATAACTCCATAATGACCTGGAAGGCCAGGATCAAATCTGGGGCTCCTAGAATTCTACACCGGAAAGTGTGTGGCTATGAGGAGCTGGTCCTGCCCCAGTCCTCAGCCTGACCCCCTGCTCCTCCCACCCATCTCTCTCCTATAGTCTGAGGGCCTTATGTGAACATGTGTATATGTATACTCCAGCCCAGCAGCTAAAATCTCTGCACTTCCTGCCAAAAAGCTACGTCGTAGCTGCCCCTTGGGCCAAGGGCGACATGCACTGGCTTGGGAGACAGCTTGTAGAAGTGGGCTGGAGTTTGGGTAATAAATTTTGAGGCACCAGAGGGTGGTTTAGATGAAGGAGGGGCATCTAAGCATGTTCGCTTGGTTTCTCATACCCCTCAACCCATGAGGAAGGGGCAGCTGGAGGAAGACCAGCTGGGGCCCTAAGGCACGGGGCTGGGCAGGAGCCTCCTTGCCCCTCAGTGAGGCGCTACTGCTCATCAAACTGGCTGTCCCATCTCAGAGCCTCGTTCACAGAGTGTGCATGGCAGAGCGTGGCTGCCCTGGGAATCAGCCTTCCTGGACCGGCTCCAAACACCCCTGCTTCCCACAGGGTTCCCCACGACTTTGGCGCAGACAGACTTAGAGAGCTCTTCCCCAAAGTATTTTAGATTTTCCAGTTTAGACCTGTTGAGGTCTCCAGTTTTGTTTGTCCTTCCTCTCTGGGGAAAACTGATTTGCTGTGATATTCCTGACATTATCCTTGGGTTCTGGAGGCCAGGTCTCAATTTTTTTTCGTGGTCAAGACTCTGGTGAACACATAACCCTAGCCCATAGTCTATCAAACTTGTGAATAGCTTCTGGTATGAAACCTAATCAAACATTTATAAAAAGCCTAAACAGCTATGTACACTCCAAATAAGGAAAACTTTGACATGAAATATTCAGAAAATGTAACATAAATGCTTTTTACCTCAACTTCCACTGGTGAATATAAATAATTAAAGAAAATGGGACTCCTCTTGTGCATTCTGTCAACACATTCCCAAATACAAATTCCTTTTTTGGCATGCTTATCTCCTTTGTCATCAAATAAAGTTCCTGTAGGTCCAAAGACATTCAACAAAACTCATATAAATCAACAGTTTGCCTAAAAGCATGATGTGTGTAGCAGATGAAAACTGGAATATTTCTTATGGCTCCACAAATAGCAATGTACGTGCAGAAACCTTAGAAAATAACTGCAAAGCTAAAGATAGGAATGAACTTCAGTCACATAGACACAGATCCACATGGAAGGGAAGCAGCTGACAAGGTTTCCAGCATTTCCAGGACATCACCACTCTCTTCCAATCTACAGTCTGCATCTACATTCTACTTTCTACATCTACACCGAGACCTCAGAGGCTAGCCAGGAAACATTCTACACATTCTTCCAGAGAAAATGGAAGGACTTAGAGTTGATTTGATGAAACTCAGTTAAAAACATAATTTTATATTTCTTTTTTAAGCCATTGGATGTTTATTATGAAGCCGTTTCAAGTGTTTTCTTGTTTGGTAGTTTATATACACCGCAAATCATGGTCATGGAGACTTGGATGACAGAAGGGTGTGGTCTGGACTCTGGGTGACTTAAAAATAAAAGCCTTTCAGGGATTTTCTTACATTATTTTTGTACCTTTTTAATTTTTTAAATATATTCTATTGATTTTTTACAGAGAGGAAGGGAGAGAAATAGAGAATTAGAAACATGGATCACATGCCTCCTCCATACCCACCACTGGGGATGTGCCCACAAGGTACATGCCCTTGACCAGAATCAAATCTGGGACCCTTCAGTCTACAGGCTGATGCTCTATCCACTGAGCCAAATCAGTTTCGGCTATTTTTGTACCTTTTAAAAGTCAGTCTTTTTCTTATATGAGTCTACTTTGTTTTATTTTTATTTTCTATTTTAAAAAATACATTTTTATTGATTTCAGAGAGGAAGGAAGGAGAGACAGAAACATCAATGATGAGAGAATCACTGACTGGCTGCCTGGTACGCCCTCTACTGGGGATCAAGCCCAAACCCAGGCATGTGCCCTGACAATCGAACCGTGACCTTCTGGTTCACAGGTTGATACTCAACCACTGGGCCGCGCAAGCCGGGCCCCACTTTGTTTTTAATTGAGAGGACTATGTGTTGAGATGAGGCAGAAGGTTTTTTTTTTTTTTTTTTTTAAAGGCCAGGATGAGTGCCTCTCTTTGTAATGCTGTCTTGCTTTGAATGAAATGACTCAGTCAAAAATCAATAAACATTTTACCAGTTTATCATAAAAGAATGCCTTAAGACCAAGGCTGCACAAACTCCTGAGCCCCCCCAAGACTAATTAATGTTTTCTTCTCTGTCTTTGAAGCGCAGAGCCCAGTACAGGAGTTCTCAATGTTGGCCAGATGTTAATAATACTAAGGGCTTTAATATCTGAGGATGGCCCCAGAGATTAGATATTTTAAAAGTTCTCCAAGTAATTCCAGCGTCCAATGTAACCAGCTCTATTTAATGCCTTCTCAACACATGGGTGCATAAAAAATTAAGGTTTCTGATTAAGATGTGTGGGATGGCAATTCTATGAGTCAACAAAGGTCTGGAAGTACTAACAGGGTGGGAATGGTCTCACCGGTGTTGTCTCCCTTACCAAAAGTAAGAAATATCTTACTAGACAATTTTTCTAATCCTTTCTCAAGGATATCTTTTTATTGATTTTAGACAGAGAAGAAGGGAGGAGGAGGAGAGAGAAACAGCAATGTAAAAGAGAAACATCAATCAGTTGCCACCCTTATGCACCCCCCAACCTGGGTATGTGCCCTGACTGTTGGATGGGATGAGGCTCTAATCAACTGAGCCACATCAGCCAGGGTTATTAGCGATTTTAATAGCATACATTGGAAAGCAATATTTCCTGATTTCATATTTTAAATTGAGATCATCAGTAAATATGTCAGCCACTAAAAGAGTTCTTATTATGAATATACAGGTACATATAATATTCTGAAAATTGCTGATTTTTAAAAAATTTGCCTGTCTTCTCAGCCATGTATATCCTCCCCTTCCCTCTCCCTACAACAATAAAAGAATGTAAACCCCCTTGGAAAATGTTTGCACAAGGGCCGATGAGTTTCAGCATTCACTCTTTACAACTATTACTGCTGTGAAAAATTATAACAAATAATGATAGTATACCTAAAATTTATTGAGTGCTTACTATGTGCTATCAATGGTGCAAAGAAATTTACAAATATTTCCTACTGTGCTAATCATGGCTCAAAAGGCCATTTTGATGAGGAAATGGAAGAAACTCAGAGAAGTACTTAACTCAAAGAACTTGGTGCTGGCGGGTAACCTAGGTCTGTTTCTGCCAGAGCCCATGGCATTAAAAAAAAAGTTTGTTGTTTTTTTTAATTGATTTCAGAGAGGAAGGGAGAGAAAGAGAGAGACAGAGAAACATCAATGAGAGAGAATCATTGACTGGCTGCCTCTTGCCCCCCATTGGGAATCCACCCTGTAACCCAAGCATGTGCCCTTAACCAGAATCGAACCCAGGACCCTTCAGTCCACAGGCTGACACTCTATCCACTAAGCCAGGCTAGCTAGGCTGAGCACATGGCATTTATTGCTACTCAAATACTCAAATGCCTCCAAGGGCAGTGCCTTTTCCGTGGGAATGTGCCGGGGTGGAAAAACAGTCAAATGTTTCTTCTCAAACAGGGTTGTCACTTTGAGATACTAAAGTAGTAAGCAGATTTCACTTTTCAGAGGTGCCTCAGGGATGACTACTTGCAGGGCCTTAGGGCTAACACACACATCATCTCAGAATCTGGGCCTGTGTTCACATCTACTCTGCTTCCCTAGTTCAGGCCGAAAGCCTACAATGGCCTTGCCATACCTGAGGCAGTTATGTTAGTAGAGGTTTAAATAAAAAACACACAAAAGTAACAAAAAAGATAAAACAAGAGCATGCAAACACATACCGTGCTCTAATCTTTCATAATCTGAATCCAGGAGAAATGTTTTAAAGCGATTAGATACGTAGTGGAAAGCCAAGAACTTTAAGTAATAGAGGTTGAATTCAAACTCGGTTGGATACTGGTTGTGAACCTGAAACACACAAGGCAAAGAAAAGAGTAAGAATCAAACCAGACAAAATGTGGAGGCCGTGCCTCTGAGCGCTGACCGAGGTGTGCAGGACACCGTGTGGCCACTTAACTGCATCCCCGCCATGAATAAGGGTGGGAGGGAACCAGCCTTTCTGCACCTTGCACGTGCCCGACGCCTTGCGAGAGTTTGTTATAACAATCTCATTTACTCTCCACACTGCTAACATAATCTCACTTAATCTGCATAACAACACTGCAGGATTAACATTGTTTTTCTGACTTTACAGAGACGTACAACATATGTGTAAGTTTAAGGTATACTTGTGATAATTTGATATGCATATCTCTTGTGAAATGATCACCACAGTAGGGTTATAGTTAACAACTTTCAAGTATTGTATTATTACCTACTGGTGTACGAATTCATGCACCAGTGGGCTTTGGCCTGACCTGAGGGATCGGGCTGAAACTGGCTCTCCGACATCCTCCGAGGGGTCTCTGATTGTGAGAGGGCACAGGCCAGGCCTAGGTTATCCCATCAGTGCACGATTGGGGCTAGGAAGGGACCGTGAGAGGGCTCCAGGTCATGTCTGGCCTGTCTTGCTCAATCCTGATCAGCCAGACCCCAGGAGCAAGCTAACCTACCAGTCAGAGCGTCTGCCCCTGGTGGTCAGTGCACATCATAGCGAGCGGTAGAGTGGCCTTAGCACATTATTAGTTTGGTTGAACCAACCAGATGACCAGACACTTAGCATATTAGGCTTAAATTTTTTTTTATTTTTATTGTTTGAAGGATTACAAATGGTAGTACCTATGTCTCCTTTTTTTCCACCATGACCTCCCCCTAAGCCTCCCCTACCCCTCTACCCCCCATATATGCCTTCACCTCCCCCCCCTTCCCCATGTCTTGTATCCATTGGTTATGTTTATATGCATTCATACAAGTCCTTCGGTTCATCTCTTACAGGCCCCCTATCCCCAACCTCCCTTGCCTTCCCGCTATAGTTTGACAGTCTGTTCAATGGTTCTTTATCTCTATAACTCTTTTTTTCCCAATTCTTTTCTTTGAAAAATCTTGCAGCTGCAGACTAGAAATAAACATATAAAAACAAAAAACTTTTGAGTCCCAATTTCAGTGTCCAGCAGTTCTGAGACCCAGTTTCTTAAATATATTTTATTGATTTTTTTCTTTTTTTTTTTTTACAGAGAGGAAGAGAGAGGGATAGAGAGTTAGAAACATCGATGAGAGACACTGATCAGCTGCCTCTTGCACACCCCTACTGGGGATGTGCCCGCAATCAAGGTACATGCCCTTGACCGGAATTGAACCTGGGATCTTTCAGCCCACAGGTTGACACTCTATCCACTGAACCAAACCGGTTTTGGTGAGGCTTTTATTATATAGAACTATGTTCACATTTGATCAGGGGAAGGCGCCGCCCTCATCATCCCGCTGCTGCTGCCACTACCGGCTGTGGCGGCTGCGAGGCCAGAGGCCCCGGCCTCGCAGCGCTGTGGCTTCGTCCAGATGTACGTCCACCAATTAGCATATTCCCCTTTTATTAGTCAGTCACCGTGCTGTGCATTGGGTTCTCAGAACTTCTTATAATTGGAAGTGTTTACCCCTTGACCCACATCTCCTTATGACCCTCACCCCCCAGATGCTGGCAACTACCATTCTGCCCCGTTTCTATGAGTTTGGCTTTTTCACATTCCATATCCAAGTGAATGAATATAGTATTCATCTTTCTATGATTTATTTCATTTAGCATAATGCACTCAAGTTGTTGCAAATGGAAAAATTTCCTGATTTCCTCATGGCTGAATAATATCTCTTTATCTATTCACCTGCAGGTGGGCACAGGTTGTCTCCATGTTTTGGCTACTGTGAAAAATACCGCAGTTAACAGGGGAGTGCCAATATCTCTGAGATTGTGATGGCATTCCCTCAAGTATATATCCAGAAGTGGGACTCTGTGTCGTATGGTAGTTTTATTTTCAGTCTGTTTGAGAAATCTCTATACTGTTTCCATAGTGGCTGTACCAATTTACATTCCCACTAACAGCAAACACGGGTTCCCTTTTCTCTGCATTCTCAACAATTTTTACCTCTTGTCACTTAGATAATAGCCATCTTAACAGGTATGGCATGATATTTCATTGTGGTTTTGATTTGCATTTTCCTTCTGATTAGTGACGCTGAGAACTTTTTCATATATCTAGCGGCCATTTGTATGTCTTCTTTGGAAAAATGTCTATTCAGTTCCTCTAAATATAGGCTGAGGATGAGCAAGATTAAGCAGTTTATCCAACATCATTCAGCAGGAACCAGTGAGCCCAAATGTCAACTCTGGCTTTTTTGGCTCCAAATCTGTGCCCCATTCACCACCTTACACTGTGCAAGGCACTTGACAGGTAGAAATGAACATGAATTATGATTCTTGTTTTTCAGGCACGTGTGGTGAGTTAGTATGTAATGTAACAATAAAAGTTGTACTTACATAGTTTGGTGGTGAAAGGAATGAGAAGTGAAGGTCATTTAGGGAGATAACAAGAGGTTTTCTGGACAAAAGAAATGTGTGCCTGCCTGAAGGCAATGTAGACGGAGCCATCCAGAGAGAACAAATCCTACAGAAAGAACTGATAACTGAGAGAACAAGGCCCTGGGAAAACAAGAATGAACAAGGCAAAGGGCCCAGAAATAGGGAACAGTCTTGGAAGTGAAAAGGGACAGAGGAGTAGATAAAATAGATATATTCAAGTGCCAAGGGAAGGCGGAGGAGCTCATGCCTTTAACCCTACATTTTCATCAGTAGATAGGCAGCGAGATCACAGGACACAGCCATAAAGATAAGGGAATGCCATGGGAGGGAGGGAGCGAGGCTCCGCCGGGACCAGTCCCCGGGCACCAGCATACTTCAGGAGGCTTTGTGCAGACTCTGTGGAACCATCTTCTGTTGGCAGAGGGTAGGCTGATGACATCGTGACACCCTCCGACCCACCCAGCAAGCTCACCTCTGCATTCTTCAAACAATCTCTTGGGACTAGTTAGAGAATTTTGTTTGCTTGAGATAAGTTCCAATCATAGTTGTCCTTGCTTGAAAGCTGTTTTAAATGAACACTGATGGCAGGCTGTCCAAGAGCCAGCTTTTCTCTCCATGTTTAACTTGGCAACGTGGACCCATACTTGTCAGCCAAAGTGAGCAGGCATGTGGATAATATGCCAATTGCCCAGTAGATCAATAGGAATTTAAAGTCATAATCCGATATCCTGATTTATCAATTGGGTAGAAACCTAGTTTTCTATGATGATGAAAAGTTTTTCCTTTCTCCAGCATGTTCTTACTGGCTTTTAAATTTTAACTCAAAGCAGTACAAAATAATTTTAGGAAGACTTAAGAGAGTTGTACTCCCATGCAGTGAAGCTGCACTCCTGCCCTGAGCCACTGCCCCTCCTGTTGCATCAGGCTCCATGGACAGAAGAGCCCGGGACAGCTGTGACAAGGCTCTGAAGGGCTAGGGAGTGCGCCATGTGCCAGGTTTTTTAGGACTGTAAGCTTATGTATTATGTATGAATTTCCTCATCAGTGAAAAAGAAAGGAATACACAGGAGTTTCCTGTGATTACTAGGGTATGTTATATGAGCAACAAATTATAAAGCTTAAGCATTCTTGAAGAGTTTATACTTATAATTAAATAAAATGTAAGTTAATCTAATACATATTAATGATCAATATTATTTTGCAGCATAAACATAAGTTCATATAAAGTGGTTATTGTAATTAGTAATACTTCCTTTTATTTCTAAAATGAAAAATACAATTTTAAAAAACAGCTTTCTTTCCTTGCTTTGCTAGCCCACTATGTCTTTGGCTCAAATATTAACCATATCCTCTAGTGCAACCATCCTTTTTCAGACACTGTCCCTCTGGATGCAAACGCACACCAAAGACACGGGCCCTGAGTGTGGCGTTCCACTAGGGGTGGGTTCCCGGCTCCTTTCTGAAGCATCGTGCAGACCTACAGTTCCTTCCTGACCTGGCGATTTAGTGCTACGGCTCCTGGCTCCTGGCTCCTGGCTCTGGTTCGGAATCAACAGCACCACTCCAAGGGACCAGCGTGTGCATGATGGAGAGGGAGTGCAGACAGAAGGAGACAGGCCTAGGAGGATGGAACTTGGTTCCCTACCATCTAAGAGTCTCAGGGAAGAGAAACCTGCAACATACTTAGGCAGCATGAGCTCCAAGAACAACTGTGTCCCAACAGCCCTTGAATTAAGTCTCAGGAGTCACAGACCAGGCCCCAGGCTCACTGTGTTCAGGGAAGAAGAGTCAGAGCTAGAGTATTTCCACGGACCCCGACCACAACAGGCCTTAAAAACTCTTAAAACACTTTTATTAAATAAAGCCCAGAAAAACAACACATTTCCCTCATGACCATTCACCACAGAAACCACTCGCCTCATACACATCGTATTTTTCCTGGATTATTCTGATATTTAATACCCTGAGGAATATAATTATGAAGACCCACTTCTGATGTAAAGTAGCATGGAAATGATAGTGAATATGACCTTAAGTTGAACTTACAGGCATATCACATGGTGGGATTAGAAGCAAAACATTGTACTGAGTGACTGGCCTCACCACAGACCCTGAACTTGGGAGCACTTGTGTGTGTGTGTGTGTGTGTGTGTGTGTGTGTGTGTGTGTGTATGTCTGTAGCTGTGTGCCTTTGGAGTGGTACTGTTGATTCCGAACCAGAGCCAGGAGCCAGGAGCCGTAGCACTAAATCGCCAGGTCAGGAAGGAACTGTAGGTCTGCACGATGCTTCAGAAAGGAGCCGGGAACCCACCCCTAGTGGAACGCCACACTCAGGGCCCGTGTCTTTGGTGTGCGTTTGCATCCAGAGGGACAGTGTCTGAAAAAGGATGGTTGCACTAGAGGATATGGTTAATATTTGAGCCAAAGACATAGTGGGCTAGCAAAGCAAGGAAAGAAA